AAGGAGTAGGGGATAGAAAAGTTCGAAATAATTTAAAATAGTAAACTTTCATATTAAATTAATATACCAGTAACATTACGCCAAGTTTCTCAACATTAAATGAAATTTAAATAGTACAAAAACAATAACAAATTAAGAGATTATGTTTTAAAATTATAAAGAATATATCTTTATATATTCATCTCTGCAGCTTCAATGTGGTCAGTTTTACTTAATCCTTAATGGCGACCAGATTATTTAATAAAAATTAATGAAAGTAATTACAAAGTAATCACCAAAAATTATTGCTCAATGTTTCTATTATTAAAATGATGTTTCCACATTTTAGTGACTTCATTTGAGAATTGGACAAAATATTACAACAGATTAAAATTATACATTCTCTTACATTTTAATTAAAAATATGATGACGACTCTGGAACATAAATCACTTAAACGCTGAGACCCTGGAAGTCGAATTCATTCCTTATTTGTTTTTCAAACAGGCTGAGAAATCCTTGCGCCATAGATCACGTGCACTCAGCCCTGGCTACAGCACTGTTTGGACCAACTGAACCTGAGTTCAAGATCCAAAAACTTGGCCTAAATGTATTTTGTGTGGATGAAAACTCTCGTAGGAATGTGACATTCCGTTTCTTCGAGTCCCCATAACATTTATTTAACACACAGGCCCTACTTTCTGTAAAAACGCTCAAAACATGCGAGTTAAACAGTTCAATTCAGTTGTACAACTAAAAAATAATATAATACCTGAGATTTTATATAAATTACATTGTTCTTGTAACTGAGTTAGGGGTCGCGCACCACAATTTTATAATCACTGCTGTAATATTCATAAAATGGATAAAAAAAAACATAATTTCTCATGACTGTCTTCTGGGATGTCTCTCAGATATTTACGGACATTTCGAGGAACTTACTGCTTCCATTATCAGGATGGTAATCGTCCTAATGACAGACTACACGGTTACAATATCCCACAAGACGTATTCAGCTTTATACACGTGCCTTCACACACGCGCTGAGTTCAGTATCAACAATATTTATGTCTGGAAATGAAGGCTTTTGCTAGACTCGCAGTATTGCCAACATTGACAGCAAAAACACAGTGAGCGTGAGTTTGTGTTCTAGAGGTGAATCCAGGTCGTGCAACCTTCAAATTCTGTCTAATAAGGTGACACTGACATCCGGTGTGTACTCATTGATGAGGAAAGTGGGCGTGTTACTTGTCGCTTAAAAGATTTCTCTTGCAACACATATTTCGCACTGTGCTTAACCTGACTCACACTTTGGATATTATTATTTTAGTTTCGAAAGAATAACCGGTGGGAATAAGCCTTCCTCTCACATCTTCAGTCGACAAATCCGTATTTTTCAACACACAAACAACTGCCTCACACAAAACACATTTATAACTCATTCAAATAACAAATTCGTCGATTCTCGACTTCTCGACTGATGACATAATACTCCCATTTCCGGTGGATTTATCAAAATTTATCCCCGGGCTTAAAAACACGCTTAAAAGGTTAGCAGAGGTAAAATTCCACGTTTTCTTAACCTCGGCACCAGAATTAGTTGAGCTTTCAGCTTCAGATACCGGCTGGCCAATCAAATTCCGTTTCTGATTGGCCAAGTGAACATCGTATCCAGTCTTGACACTTCGGCGAAGACACGTGTCTCCGCACCTGTCAGAGATCGAAGCCCTGCCATCTAGCCATTAACTACATATTTTTAGTGACCTGAGCAATCAACGCTCACTTGTTTAAATAAATATTTAAATCTTGAGTAGACATCTAGCTTAAAAACTATAAACATTGTGCATTATTTCAAAATTTAATGTCTGTTGGCCTATGACGTGTCCGCGTGACATCATTTTGGAACTGATGACGTGAGGCATCATTGAATTACGTAGGAATTGTGTTAAAGCTCGCAAAAGAAATAGTATATGAAGTTAAACGCGATTCGCTGTGTGGTTCAAAGTAATATAGCGAGGAATAAACAGAGATAAATACACTGCTTTTCAAATATTTCAGTGCTTCACTAAGTCAACGAAGCAACGTCCTTGAAAAATTGACAGTCGTCGGATTCGTCAAACATTCCTTACCGAAAGTCAATGATTCTTCACAAGATTCCATGACCTCAGCCAGATGAATCCATTCCACATCCTATTTTTTTTAAGTTTTATTATAAGTCAAGTTGAGACAATAACAAATGCATTGGAATACATATATATTATATTATTACGTATGCAAAACATGTTCATTTTTATATCCCAAAAGTTCGACATTACGTAAAGATAAAAACTGGGTTAGAGATGAGTAAAATTTTATACGAATGAATTCCTTGCTAGTTTGAAGGTTTTCAAACTGGTACATTTTATGGCGTATAAATTTCTTTATATTGGCAACACCTACCGTCCACATATTTATTGGAGTTACCATTAACTAACTAGACTAATGCGTATTCCACTGCTTTATTTATGATTGTTTCGTCCAAGACCTACACTTGTTAGCCGTCTTATAAATTTAAGATTTTCGACGAGATTTCAAGTTCTCACGGCGACGAGAAAAATACTTTTTTCTGGAATATTGCACCGCGAAATCTGGTAGAAATTGACCGACATTTCAGAGGTGCTTACCGCCTCTTAAACGTCTGCAAATTTCTACCAGAATACACGGTGCAATATTCCAGAAAAGAAAAAACAGCCATCTTCTAATTTATAAATTTATTTTGGGAAAATATTCAGATATAAATATACAAATACTTCCAATATTCACATATTAAATACAATTTTATAAAAAGGGAAATATTATTTGTAGTTTCTAATTTTAATTATCTGAGTAGGTTTCTTGTTTAACGTTAAAGATAAGTCACGAATTTGTAATTAATTTCGTCTATTACTTGTTAGGAAATGCCATGCTGTTGATGAATAAAAATGACTGTTCACTGCACAGCAATGCCACTCTTGAATCAGAGATTGAGTGCATGACCTCAAGCTCTCCGGAAATGTCGTCACAACACCGTTCTTGGACGTCTGCTCTAGTGTAAATACAATTGGTGAAAGCTTGAACCAAGTACAGATACGGCACGAAGCAAGAAATTATTCGTTCAGCGTGTATTTTAGCAGTTTCTTTATTGTCGTGGTAAATGAAACGTCATGTCGGTTCCGTTCGTTTACAAATAGAATTGACCTCAGTAATGTGGCCTCTGACTTCCTTTAACTTATCTTCCTGTCGAAAGTAAAACATCGAGATCTTGTGCAAGATTTATCGTAAAAATAATTTCAGGTGACTAAAACGTGAAAGAAAAAAAGTGTCCACAACTCTAAGAAACTATTTGTAATGGCGCTAATCCGTTGCTATACAGATATTCATATCACTATAATTCTGCTCGCCCAATCCAAATTAAAATCATAAATTCCCAGTTTAATTCTCCGATTTACGTCTAATTTATGTTGTAATTTCTTATATATCTTAATTCTACAACATTAATACAAATTATTATTTTATTTTAATCTAACTCTTCACCGACACTGAAGCATTTGTTATCCAAAATTCGTTCAATTCAATTTTATATTTATCTTTCACAAAGCAACCTCTGCGATTGTACTTAAGTACATAATTATCTCTGTTGTTTCATTTGTTTAGATACAATATTCATGCTCGCCGTTGCAAAATTAAAAACACTTCAAGCATTTCCTTGCATGAGTCAAAATTTTTTTTATAATCCACTCATTTTATTCTGAAACAGAAATTTATGTACCGTTGGACAAAACTTATAGCAAACCCAGGCAATTATGTTAAACAAAACGCTGGTATAATTCTACGCAGAAAAGTCTTTCTCAATAAGTTAACACACGCTCAGCTTGTAATCTATGCCAAGGTCTTTCAAGTGGTCTCTTCCCTTCACGGGTGTTAACCAAACATAATAAAACGGCCTTTGTCATGTTGACTTTCAGCATAAATGAAGGTTTAGATGTCGTTTCTGACAGTCGTATGGTAGACTGAATGGAACACACGCATTAAACAAAACTCTGTTTCAGACTGACGTATTTCAACCAAAGTTTCACCAGGCTATACACTTAAAGCACAATCCTTTCTATAAATTCCTAAATTACATTTTTGATGACAGTAACGTGGATATAGCTTTATGAAACAGGTAGTGAAATCGAAAAGTGATTTCGAAAAGCAAGATTCTGTATATAATCATTAATAACATAAAAAATAAAGAGGCCTTCCCTTGTGTTGCAAAATACATAGACACTGCTGTCAGATCGCCAAATCGTTACGAACGCGAATATTAAGATACTAACTAACTAACTAGATGGCTTACCGAACCCGAATTAACCAAAGCCCTCCACCGGACCCTGTCCTGGGCCAACAAAATCCAGTCTCCTTCAACTCCTGTCTCCCATAGATCCCGCCTGACATTATCCTCCCATCTACGTCTAGGTCTCCCCAGCGATCTCTTCTCCTCAATCTTCCCAAATAGTGGACCCAACCAACTAGATGGCTTAGGGAACCCGAAGGTTCATCACCGAATAAACCAAAGCCCTCCACTGGACCCTGTCCTGGGCCAACAAAATCCAGTCTCCTTCAACTCCTACCTCCCATAGATCCCGCCTGAGATTATCCTCCCATCTACGTCTAGGTCTCCCCAGCGGTCTCTTCCCCTCAGGTTTCCCAACCAGTACCCGGTGAACACCTCTTGTCCCATCCATGCGCGCTACATGCCCAGCCCATCTCATTCTTCTCGACTTAATCACCCTGACAATACTGGGGGAGGAGTACAGATTTTTAAGTATGTTAAGATACTTTACGCTAATTTATGTTTTGCCATCCAGAATCTGACTTTGAGACTTCATCATTCCTGTGGCATCATCTAATCAAACTGTTTTTTCTGCTCTCAGACGAAAGTACGTGTTCGTCACGGCCAAATCATCGCAAATCAAGTAAAACACTGAAAAAATTATATAATCGTGCTAATCTTGTACTTACCCTTGTGGTCCCATTTTGTTCATCGTGTTCATGGCAGCCATCTGTTGGTGCATGTTGATGGCGGATGTGTCTGACGGGTTTGCCGCCACGCAGGGGCCTATACCCTCGCCTCACCTTCACGCCACCTCAGCGATGAGGTGACACCTGCAATCAGAGGGGGGAGGGAACAAAAAAAGACAAATTAGTGAACTGATACCACCTGCCAAACGTATGTTTCGTTCCAAAAACAACAATTGATATTACTAATTTCCTTACAACAAAAGTCTTTTTTTGAGTTCGGTGGCACAAAGCAACATGATATTAGGACATCCTCTTGAAACCTTGAATAAAAACCAGTCTTTGTTTACGTCAAAGGGACGCCAGATTTGTACTCAAAAGAGACAAATAAAAAAGATATAAGACTTTAAGCATTTTCGTGTGTTCTTTTCGATGCCTCGGAAATTGTGGTCTGGCTTGAATAGAAAGACAATTTTAAAAGTTGAGAAATACTAACACGAAATACAATTCTGTATTCTTTTCAAGTTACTGTAAGTTATTTAGAACTTATTATTAATAACGTAATACGGCGATAAGTATCTTATTCACGCTCAACAAAACAAACCAAAATCATTTTTTCCTCCAAAAACCAAAGGACAGAAATTGTTTTTCTCCAACTTGTGGTCCGCGGATTGCTATCGGTCGGAGGCTTAATTTAAACCAGTTCACAAATCATACTAAGCGTCACAAGATAAAAGGTAAACGAACATAACAATTAATATCTTATAACCAACTAGCGGTTAGAACGCTGGCCTTGTAATCCTGGGTTCCGGGTTCGATTCCCGGCGGTGCCCGAATTTATAACTTGTGTTGGGCTAGGCCGTGGTCTAGGCAACACGGAGTTTTCCTCCGTGGCATCCCAACAATTACTCCATTCACACACAGAAGAAGGCAATGGCAAACCACTTCTGGATCATCTGCCAAGAACGTATATGAACAGGTCCCAGTCCGAGAAAAGGATGGAAGGATCCTGTTCATATGGACCTGTCGTCAGACAGAACACTAAATAATAATAAATAAATAAAATAACCAACGACCCAGAAGTGGAGATACAGAGTCGTGCTACAAAGCTCAGACTATTACAATACGAAAAGACCAACAATTAAATCTAAAAATATTTAATAGGGCTTAGCGAATATTCAATGTGCATGATACCTAGGTAAAAACGTTACCAACACAGCAATTTTTTCACTGGAAATAAAATATACCAACTTAATAGAATTGTTTTATCTTGGCACTGGCCACTGGATAGATAAATAAGATAAACGATCTGAGTCACTTTTTGTCTCCAGACAGGAAGGAAACTGTTTTCCGCAATTGCGGTTTTTCGAAGAAATCTAATTCTTACAATTAAACACGGAAAAGGCGCGTAATTTATATCCATACAATGAACATCTCTGTAGGAATTCGTTTCATGACGACACCAGACCGCAGTAGGATCCGGAATCTTGATCAGACATACGACAAATACAATGTGACGATGATGTCCATTAGGTCACGCAAGGCGAGATTGAAATTCAGTGTTACATCACTGATTACGGTTGCCGTGAAACAGAACCGGTTCCGATATGTTCATAAACAAAAATTTACTTCGCCATCATTGTCAATGTGACTTTTAATCCGTGTACCAACGCCATAATATTTTAAATAATTTATAATATAACGTGGTTTCTGTAGAAGTATCACAGTACGCCTACGAAGAATATAATCCGGAAAAAATAATTTAGAATTACGCCTGACGTATGATCGCCACTTGCAATATTATGACCAATCATACTCACTATTAAGAATAAAAAAATATGCACATGAACGAACCTTTCATCCATTCAAACTTAAAAACAGTCTATATGTAGGCCACTAACGAGAGACAACATTACAAGTACTATTGTCCGCATCAACTAACTCGGCATGACGGTCTGCGCATGCTCTGTTCAGTATTTCCTTCCAAAACATTTCTCAGCGACACGCGAGGCGGAAGCCCGAACTGCATGCACCAGGGAATTGAATAAAGCTGTTCTCCAGAGATAATTGCGGTCAGAGAAAAGCTAACGTGTTGCAGACAAACATATGACGAACAGTTGTTGACTACTGTTCAAATGACCAAGTTATTTTAAGAAACAGCACGTACCTTGATTAATAACAGTTTTCCAGACTTATTTTTTTATTTAGTGTTCTGTCTGACGACAGGTCCATATGAACAGGATCCTTCCATCCTTTTCTCGGACTGGGACCTGTTCATATACGTTCTTGGCAGATGATCCAGAAGGGGTTTGCCATTGCCTTCTTCTGGGTGTGAATGGAGTAATTGTGGGGATGCCACGGAGGAAAACCCCGTGTTGCCTAGACCACGGCCTTCAGGTCCATATGAACATGATCCTTCCATCCTTTTCTCGGACTGAGACCTGTTCATATACGTTCTTGGCAGATGATCCAGAAGTGGTTTGCCATTGCCTTCTTCTGTGTGTGAATGGAGTAATTGTTGGGATGCCCCGGAGGAAAACTCCCTGTTGCCTAGACCACGGCCTTGCCCAACACAAGTTATAAATTCTGGCACCTCCGGGAATCGAACCCGAGACCCCAGGATTACAAGGCCAGCGATTTTTTTCCAGACTTACAGACTCACAAATGCAGCAGTGGTATCCAAAGTCATTGTTGAGATAATATGATCCATGGTAATTGGTGCAACAAAGCGATCCAATAATCACCTCGGGCCATTTGGGGTTTCTTAATTCCTTACAGAAACGCGACAGACAGAGATGGGAGGGCCCATTAGGTGTCCTTCGCTCGCTTTCGAGAATACCTAATAATAAATTAATCCATAAGTCGTATCAGCTTCAGAGGTTTTACAAATTAATCTTCCTCAAGCCGAACTTCGCCCAATAAATTCAAAACTCATTATTCTTTCACAGTCAAGCCATTTTGTTACTAAGAATGTGCCGATGGATAACTGATTCAGGTAAAAAGATGTGATACCGTTGAATCATTCACCTGAAAATATAAGTCCAATTTATAATATTCTCCAAAGCTAAAGATATTTAATAACCATCAAAAAATAATCATATCAAAATCTATGAACATTTTTGAACTCAAAATAGATAAACCCAATACGACTGGACCTCATCTTTAAATAGTTTTATTTCACGTTAAATAATGCTAATTTTCTGTGAGGCGTGTAAACACATACAGAATGCAGTACAATAGAAATTATAAAACAATTAACTAATACTTAAACAATACGGATTGTCGAAAATTGTCATCAAAATACAGAAAGTAACTCTTCCGTCTTCGTTTATAAAACAAGGAATCCCACATAAAAAGCCCATCTCTTTTCTCAGTACTGGATTTTATGGTTGGAAACTGATCAATTATTTAATTTTGAAGTGACAGTGCTACCGTACAGAAACATAAACATTTGACAGCGGTTAGAACGCTGGCCTTGTAATCCTGGGGTCTCGGGTTCGATTCCCGGCGGTGCCCGAATTTATAACTTGTGTTGGGCAAGGCCGTGGTCTAGGCAACACGGAGTTTTCCTCCGGGGGCGTCCCCTGTTTCTCCGTGGCATCCCAAAGTACAACACGCTCCAAGAGTGACCTCACGCCTGACTTATCATATCATAGCTAGCGACACTGTGGCAAGTACTTGAAGTAGCGGTGCTGTTCTGGAATGATCTGCTTCTATTTCCTTGAATATTTTCGTTCATACGGTCAGTCCGTTAGCTCCGATGCGAGACAAGGAAGCTAAAACTGCTAAGTGCCGTTGCTACGTGCAGTTGAGCGAAACCAAAACAGAGGTAGCATTACCGTACCAAAGAGGGCGTGTATCAATGCACTTCAGAATCCTCTTTGCATGAACACTCAGCTCCTACCCATGCTGAACCCCTGTCAGGTCTCACACGTTCATGAACTTATTTACAGCGTGTTTGTAAAATTTTCAACACGTTTAAATTCCATCTGGTGTCTGAGATGCGCACTAAAATTTTGAAATCGATTTGGGTTTTAATTAGTAACCATTAAATTTAACCCACATATTACATGTTTCTCAAAATTAACTTTTTCGAGTTTCTAAAAAAAAACGACTCATTGTACAAAGAAATTTTTAAATTAAACAAACTACGACTTTAGTTTGAACTGTTTTTCGACATGGTGAATATTTCAAAAAGGCACGACGAGACCATTTACTGATGTGCATGTAACTTCACAACGAATATCTCAACACACAAATATCAAATCAGTCATGTGACAAACGTTTCGGAAAATATACTGCCTCCATCTTCAGATCGTAATTAATGTTTTAAGTGTTTCATTCGTCTGAGACGTTACTGTAGTAACAAAAGGTGTCTTTTCTTTTTAAATGCACAATAAATTATAGACTTACAGAATTCGATACAGCGTATGAGCTGTCGTTTAATAACTATGTGACATTTTAAACAGAAGACTCAGCATTGCTAACACGTAACTTAGCAATCTGACCTGATGTTATGTTAATGAAATCCTCGTTATCAACATTATTTGTCACAGATCTCTTCAGCGAAACCTGTTCGTAATTAAGTCCCAAGGACCAGGACTATTTAAAATTTCAAAGATGTTTCAGTTTGACATCTAGATATAAACTATTGCATTTTAAATACTCCAAGTACTTATCTATATATTACCTTCTCTGTCTTTTGCAAATGGACGCTTCTCATCAGAACTCTGTACGTATTCCCCTATTACTTAATCCAAGCAGCTCATAAAAACGCTTAGATAACCCTCATAGGATACGCCATGTAATTTAATAGGCAAGACTTTAGATTCTCATGGCGGAGAGTTGAGAATATCATCTGGAAAGATGCACATTGCAGTCTTACAGAAGTTCGCCGACGTTTCAGACACGTTTGCTGCCTCGATAATCTACCGCATTACACGCCGTCTTTCCAGGTATATACTGGGATAGTAGCTTAAATTAGGCCACGACCACCTCCTTCCACATCCTTCCAATATAACAAAATATCCGATCACTCAACGCTATGATGTAACATCTCAAATATTTACAGCGTCGTTAAAAACTCATACATAAATAAAAAAAGCGTTTATCGTGGGTGATCCGGTCCTCTAAGCAAATGTCAGGAT